GACCAGAAATAACTTTCTATGACCTATCTATATGTTAGGGCAAACTTCTAATTACTGAACTTCTGCTCTTTTTTCTTTTTTCTTCCTGTTCTTCCCATTCTGAGAATGACCTTCCTTGCCTATGGAAGCCCCAAGTACTTGACCTCATCTTTAGCTCAGAATGCCATAGATTCATCATGCTGTGTATCAGAACGCTCATGGACATGGGGTCTCTGACTCTCGTGTGTGTGGGGTTCCCATACATAGATAGATACGTTACTAAATGGGGTTATTTCTCCCATTAATCTGTCTCATGACAACTTAATTATTAGACCAGCAGAAAGAACTTTGGAAAGTGGAGGGAAGGATCTTCCTCCCCAGGCCAGATGAAGGTGTCCTCACTCTTCCCGTAGCTCAGCTATCACCTCCTGCGCAGTCTCCCCTTTTCCAGAACCACCTGCTCCCCTCGTGCCCCCACCACGCACACTCCGCCTGTGTTAGCCTTTCCTGCTCCCATGACACGACTCCGTTCACACAGCAACACCACGCACGCTTCCTTGGCTCTCTACTCGGCAGTGTCTTTTCCACTTCTGCACTGTGGATGCCTAGCCAGCTGGGGACTCATAATAGTGACCGAGTGAACACATGGGAAGGACGGGTCTGTCCGGGTCCCTAAGGGGCCGTTGCATTCCAGCCCCTAATGCAGCCCTGGGAGGAAGCAAGCTTTCTAAGAAAGGCCAGCAGGCGGCGGATAAGGGGTTTTCTGTGGAAATCAGGCTGCAAAGCATCGGAACTGCAAGGCCTCCAGCGATTACAAGCCCAGTCCTTCCCTGCAGAGACGGGGAAAGAGCAGCCCGAGCTCACCCGGGAGTGGGTGGCGAGCCGGACCTGGTCCCGGTCTGGGTCCCGGTCCCTGCGCCCCCGACCTGGACACGCCTGTCCCGGGAGCTGGCTGGGAAACAGGGGCGGGCGGGGATGGGGGGTGGGGTGGCCATTGCCTTTCGACGCGGCAGGTTTTCAAAGGTCCGTGTTTTTCTTCCCTTCCCCGCCCACTCTGTACAGGGAGACACTGAGTGGACCCAGTACTTTTACCACTTTCTGAACTTGAACCCATGAACCCCAGAGAGGTTCAGGGACCTGCCCAAAGTCTCCAGTTGACAGAGTTGGGAAGGAATGAGCAGGTCTTCGTTGGTCTGTGCAGCTCACTCAGCCTTTCCGCATATTTCAGGTTGTTCCTGGCCTCATTTTGTAGATAAGAAATTAAGATCATGCCCTGGCCGGTGTGTCTCAGTGGGTTGGGCGACTCCCTGGCACCAAAAGATTGCCGGACCCATTAGTGATCAGGGCACATGCGGCTGCGGGCTTATCCCTGAGGGGGCTTGCAGGAGGCAGCCGATTGACATATTGCTCTCACATTGATGTTTCTCTCTCTCTCCTCCCTTCCTCTCTCTAAAAATCAATTTTTAAAACTTTAAAAAAAAAAAGAAATTAAGGCCTTCTGGCTCACTTTCCCTCTCAGGAGCACACTCCCTGCCTTTCCCGTCCCTTTCTTCATTCCCCCTCTCCCCACAAGCCCCCTACCTTTCTCTCCTAAGCTCCAAGGGCCCTTCTTTTGCTTCTGTAATTTGTTTCAGAAACCCAGCTGGCTCACTCCTACTACCTCTGTAACTTTCTAAATAAACTTTCTCTTATAATTTGAAAATTTAAAAAAAGAAAGAAATTAAGGCCTTTTGCAAATACAAAAGACCAAACACCAAAGCCCATAACTTACTCAAGGTCTTGGGAGTCGGATGGAGCCAGCATTAATCCCCTTATCTTCAGACTCCCAGTCTCTTGTGGCCTGGCCATGCGCAGACCGAAGTAGTCACGCTGGCCAGGGAGGAAGCTTCGATCCCAGTTGCATCCTAGGGATCCTGGTTGGGTCATGTGGTGTTCAGCACTTCCCCCCACAGTGCCTAGTTCCCAGCTCTGCCCCCAGCGAGCACTCAGAGGTGTCTCACAGATGCCCTGTGTCTTAGCAGCCGAGCTTTGGGGAAGCTGGCAGGTGAGCCAGAGGCCCCCTGGGCCCAGCCACAAACATCTCAGGTGTCATTTCCCTTGGGTCTTGGCAGGTGCCTTGAGACAAATCCTCAGACAACACAAACTGTGGACTAAGGGCCTGACAGGATTAGCCCTCCCAGTTGAGCAAATGTTAGAGGACAGCACTAATCACCCTGGGACCGGGATTGTGGAGGCCACCAGATTTCTGAGGGGCGTGGCAGTGAGAAGGCCAGCCAGGGGATCACTATCCTGTGTTCACTTCTGGGGATTTTGACAAACAAAAGACCCTTCAGAGGGGATGACCGGTACGGAGGGCACTTGGTGCCATGTCACGAGATGAACAGCTGAAGGAAGGAGGCGGAGGACTGTCACCCGAGAGGTTCCCCAAGCACTTGGGATCTCAGAAACCTTTCTGAAAATCTGTGCTTCTGCTTGCCAGCCAGATGACCTCAGTTAAGCTGCTTTACTTCTCTGCGCCTTGATTTCCTCATCTGTAAAATGGGGATAAAAACTGCTCTCCCAGGCCCTTGATGGTTTGGCTCAGTACATAGAGCGTCAGCCTGCGGACTGAAGGGTCCCAGGTTCTATTCCAGTCAAAGGCACATGCCCGGGTTGATCCCCAATGGGGGTTGTGCAGGAGACAGCCGATCAATGATTGTCTCTCATCATTGATGTTTCTATCTCTCTCCCTCTCCTTCCTCTCTGAAATCAATCAAAATATATTTTTTAAAAAACACACACAAAACAAACAAACAAACCTGACCTCTCAGGAGTGTTGTTAGTGTTAACTGGAAAAAATGCCACTAAAATGGTTGGCACCCACTGACATAGCTAGTCCACAAGAAATGGTAGCTCTTGTGTAGATTTGGGACAAGTAGGGTAGAACTACAGGCAGGCAGATTTCAAACCCCATTTTAACACAGGGATCACAGTGGTTAAGTTTAGGCTTTGGAGACTATGTCCGGTGGGTGTAGGCCCTGGTACTCACGAGCTATGTCACACTGAGTGAGTGGCCAAACTTCTGAACTTCAATTTTCTTATTTGTCAGGAAGGGATAATTATAGTGATTAACTCATGGGATTCTTGTGATGATTAAACGGTGTAATTCACGGAAGGTGCTTAGAACGATGTTTGGCACAGAGTAGGCACTCAAGTATTACCCGTAGTAAGCTCCCAGGATTTGGGGTGTTCAAAGACTGACTGACTGTCTTGGAGAGTTGAGAAAGAATTCGTTCTGGGAGGGGAGCTGGACAATGTGACCCCACTCTGTCCCGCCTTCCCAGATTCTGAGATTCTGTGAAAGAGTTGTACAACTTACTGGATTTTTTCATCGACTTTAAAGGACCCATTTTCAGGTGACAGATCAGAGGCTTTGAGGGGCTGGAACTGTACAAAGTCAAGCGTTCGGTGGTGGGCCGGTCTGGGGATTCTCTGTGAAGAATGGCGTATGCTGCCCGTTAAGTAGATTTTCCCCCCCCCCCCCCAAATTTACTTTTGCACTTCGAGTGGAGGGGGAGAACACTGGGTTGTCATGTTTGCCACCCAGAAGCCTCCTGCTGGTTTCTGGCCGCTGAACTGTGAGGAGGAAAGGAGACCTGTCTGTGGTCTGCAGAAGAAAGCTTCAGATATCTGGTGATTTAGACCCTTCGGCAGCAGAAACTCATGCTACCTCACAAGGTGTGCCCACTCCCAGAGCTCCTGCTAAGAGTCAGGGTTGGGGGTGAAGGTGGCGGGGAGAGTGGTAGGTGGCAGTGCTGATGGCTGGTCCAGAACCAACAGGATGTCCCTGGAGCCAGGAAAGCCTGGGTTCACATCCCAGCCTCAGCACATGCTTGCCACGTGACTGTGGGCAGTTGAACCCCTGGGAACCTCCGTTTCCTCCTGAGTAAAATAAGGTGACCAGCTCCCTTTCCAGGCAAAGATCACAACTTGCTTTATTGCGACACCGCCATACTGTGCTAGTCTGGAGTCAAACTTGCAATATCCCCGAGCGGTGCCTGTGTTGGGGATGCAGCAGTGAAGTGGACGAAGTCTGTGTCTTCTGGGAGCTCATGGAAAGTGGAGGGGAAAGCGAGAGAGGATTGAGGAAGAAAGTGGGAGAGAAAGATGGAAACATCCATGATGAGAGAGAATCATCGATTGGCTGCCTCCTGAATGCCCCCCAATGGGGATTAAGCCCGCAACCCCCGGTGGGAGATTTCTCCCACTCTCCCACTTTCTTCCTCAATCCTCTCTTGAGTGTGTTGGATATCACGGAGACTGTGGGTGCCGGGCCTGCATGAAGCAGCCAGGAGCCGGGGTTCCCTCCGTGGTCTGCCCTCCGACTCACTGGGAGCCCGTGCAAATCCACTCCCCAGGCTTTAGGGGCTGCCTCTGAGAATGAGGCATTTGGCTGAGAGCAGTGGTCACTGTATATCAGAATCACCAGGGGAGCTTCCTAGCCCTGTAGACACCCCAGCCTACACTTGCTGATTAGAACCTATAGTTTTTGCAAGTTCCCTGGTGATTCTAATGCAGGTGATCTTGGATGCATAAGTAAGACCACCAGACCAGCATGGCTCTGAGGATGGGCGTCCACCCATGTCAGAGTCGATGGTCCTGAGATAGCCACATAGTTCAAGAATCAGGATTTTGAAGGTGTGGAATCGAACCCAGGACCCTTCAGCCTGCCGGCCAACGCTCTATCCTCTGAGCCAAAGCAGCTCGGGCGGAAACCGACACTTTAAACTAGCTTCCCAGCTGACTGAACTCATTGAGTGCCAGGCACTGCTAAAGGAGTTGTAGGGATTATCTCACTCAGTGCAGCAGCCTGTGAGATACAGAAATCCTTAGTTACTCCATTTTGAAGAAACAGGCGATGGGTGAGTCTGACGACAGCCAGACCTTGGCCCGTGTCTTGGCCCGTGAATGGGCCTGCATGCTGGTGGGGTATGTGGGTCTCCCTGCGGGTCTTGGCTCATGGTCCCCTTTGTTTATTTCAGAAGCACGAGTTCTTTGTAGACATGACTTGTGAAGGCTGCTCTAACGCAGTCACTCGGGTCCTCAACAAGCTAGGAGGTGAGTGAGCAGCCCTCGGTTGGGGGTGAGGTGTGGGAGGCCGATAAACTTCAGATTGTGTTCAAATGCATGCAGACATGGAGCAGGAGAAGCCGGGGTTGAAGCTGATAGATAATAACAGTACAACTAAGATGTACTGAGTGCTTAGCATGTGCCAGGTACTCTGCTTACTGGCTTTCATTTCATCCTCACCACCATTTAGGGAGCTTCTTTTTTTATTTGGTGAATCCTCACCCAAGGATATTTTCCCATTGATTTTTTTAGAGAGAGTGGAAGGGAGGGGGGAGAGACAAAAAGAGAGAGAAACACATGGATTAGTTGACTCCTGCACGGGGATCAAGCCTGCAACCCAGGTACATGCCCTTGACTGGAATCAGTGCTCTATCCACCAAACCGGCTAGGGCTAGGTAGCTTCTTACACTATCTCTGTTATAGCAGGAGGGAACTGAAGTTCAGAGAGGTTGAGTAATTTGCCTGGGATCACACAGCCAGTAGCCAGTAAGTGGCAGAGCTGGGATTTGGCCTTGCCATCCAGCTCCAGAGCCCTTGTCAGTACTAGTTAGTATGTTGGTGATCTCCACTGGGATCACTTTGGTTATATGACACAAATTTGAGTGTCATTTTCATATTCATTTTCTTTGAATCAGTCGTGTGTAGAACTCCTAAAGCACCTCTTTTGGACACATTTAGAAAACCTGTATTCTCATTCAGCTCCCTCAACTCTCAACTGGGGAAACTGAGGCCCAGAGACGGCTGAGGGCTGGCCCTGGGGCTCCATGAAGTAATGACAGAGCTGCGAACAGAATTCTGGTAGTGCTGGGGCAGTCGGTCTTCCAAGATTTTCACTTTTAAAACCCTAGATGATGGTAACACCCCATTTCCAAAGGGCTTCCGCGTGGATGTGCTCTGGGCAGCCCTTCCGGCAGGCCCTCTGCGCGGTGCATTCCACCTGTGGAACGGGGATGTTGACACCAGTGCCCCCAGGGGAAGTGACTTGCTCCGATTCCCCCAGTGAGTCACTGGCTGGTTTCTCGTCCAGTAACTAGAATCTTAATTTGAAAGAAACGGTGGAAAGAACCTAGCTGCTGACTTGTCACCTGACCGGCCTCTTCTCCCCCCGGCCTGAGTTTCCCGGCTGTAACATGGGAATGTCAGCTGTGTCTGCTTCTGCTGTGGATTCCCTGAGTGCGTGTCTGCTCAGAAGGGCCACTCTGGACGTGAGGACACCTGGCCAGGAACCTGGGCGGCAAGGAACACAATTTGAAATCCACTGTGTTAGATGGCCCCAGGGCCTCTTCCAGCTCTGTGACACCAAAACATTCATTCCAGAGAGGAGGGAGACACTCCTGAACCAAAAGACAAAAGCCCAGAGTGCAGCACGGATACAGTATAGCGCCCACCTTCCCACCCCAGGTCTCATTAGATAAAAATTCAGGCACTAAACCTTGTGCCATGTGATTGTTAAGGCCCATTGACAGAGGCTTGGGGATCTGCTCTTGAATTGGGGCAGGTTTCTCCCTACTTTTCACTACTTTCCCTCGTTTGGGCGGCCTCTTGAGATGGGTCCGAAGGCTTTCAAGTTGGTTGGGACCCTGAGGAATCACAGACGAATAGCATACTTGAACTTGGAAAGACCATAGCAGCTGGCCAACCCAGCTCCTTCAGTACAGAGGGGGAAACTGAGGCCTATACTGGGCAGGACCCAGCAAGTCAGTGGTGAAGCCACACCTAGAACCTGCCAAGGGCCCTCCCTCTGCATTCTGTTGTCTCAACAAGACTCATTCTACATACTCCCATGTGCTGCCCGGGGGCTTTAAGTTGGCACAGCCCTCAAAGAGGGCAATTTTGCAATAGCAATTAACATCGAGAAGGTGCCCCACGATTTCGATTCTGTGAATGCTTGGGACAGAAATATTTTCACAGGCTTTATAAGATACATTCAACTACGTTTACTGTATCGTTGTGGGAAGAGGGAGGAACTGGAAGCAACCACAGTGTCCTTCAGCAGGGGATTGAGTAGACGTGGGTACGTCCACACTATGGGACACGGTGTTAGCTGTTAGAAAAAGAATGGGCCCTAACCGGTTTGGCTCAGTGGATAGAATGTCAGCCTGCGGACTGAAGGGTCCTGGGTTCAATTCCTGTCAAGGGCATGTACCTTGGTTGCAGGCACATCCCCAGTAGGAGGTGCGCAGGAGGCAGCTGATCGATGCTTCTCTTTCATCGATGTTTCTAACTCTAGCCCTCTCCCTTCCTCTCTGTAAAAAAAAAAAATCAGTAAAATATATTTAAAAATGAAATAGGGAGGGGCGGGGGCAGGCTAGAAGGGGTCATTGGGGGGTGGGGGAGTGGGACATATGTTGCTTTCAGCAATAAAAGGATGAAGTATGTATGTGCTACAAGATATCCTGGCCATTGGGAGTGGAATTCAGCAAGACCTGTTCGTATAGTATGATGCCATCTGGGAGAGTCCTTTTTTTCCCCTTTGTCTGTCAGAGAGAAAGATGGGACAGTGCCACACTGGTTGCAGTGATCTCTAGAGGTAGAAGAGAGTAGGAGCTTTACACTTGCAACATTTATTCAGAAATATTTGACTTTTTTTTTTTAATGGTGTGTCTCTATTACTTTGTTGTTATTAATCCTCACCCAAGGATATTTTTTCCATTGATTTTCAGAGAGTAGAATTGGGGGGGGGGGAGGCCAGAGAGAGAGAGAGAGAGAGAGAGAGAGAGAGGCAGCACTGTGAGAGAGACACATTGATTGGTTGCCTCCTGCATGCACCTGGACTGGGACGGGGTAATGAACCTGCACCCGAGGTACATGCCCTTGACCGGGAATCGAACCTGCAACTCCTGGGTGCCGGGCCAGTGTTCTAAACACTGAGAAGACCAGCCAGGGCTGTCTCTACTACTTTTGCAGTTAAAAAGACACTTAAAAGAAGCCCTGGGCCCTAACCGTTTTGGCCCAGTGGATAGAGCATCGGCCTGTGGACTGAAAGGTCCTAGGTTCGATTTCGGTCAAGGGCATGTACCTTGGTTGTGGCACATTCCCAATAGGAGGTGTGCAGGAAGGCAGCTGATGGATGTTTTTAACTCTCTATCCCTCTCACTTCCTCTCTGTAAAAAATCAATAAAATATATTTAAAAAATAAGAGTTAACTTTAGAACTTAAAAAAAAAAAAGAAGAAGAAGCAGCAGCCCTGGTCTAGAGCAGGGATCAGCAAACTGCAGCCTTACAGGGAGTTTCCCAACCCCTGCTCTGGAGGAAAGGGGAAGAGTGGTTGTGAATAAGATTTTCAGAGCCTGAGCTCTTCCTTCCTCTTCCTGCAGGAGTTGAATTTGAGATCGATCTGCCCAACAAGAAGGTTTGCATCGACTCTGAGCACAACGTGGACACTCTGTTGGAGACGCTGAAGAAAACAGGGAAGACTGTTACCTACATCGGCCCCAAATAGCGAGGGCCTGGGTCCCCGGCCCGCAGGATGGACCAGAGCGGGCAGGTGGGTGAGGCCCCAGCACCTCGCCAGAATAGTTCATTATCTAATGCCAGTCACGTGTCAGGGAACCCTAGCAGCACCTGTGAGTAGAGGTTGTCCTGTGCGATGTCTCCCAGGGCTGCTTTTATGACAGGGATGCACTTCACAATCAGCCAGGTCTAAGTAGCAGTGACCCTGAGCAGTGTGCTTTCTTTTTTTTAAAAAAAAAAAAATATATATATTATTGATGTTTTACAGAGAGAAAGGGAGAGGGATGGAGAATTAGGAACATCGATGAGAGAGAAACTTCTATCAGCTGCCTCCTGCACGCCCCCTACTGGGGATGTGCCCACAACCAAGGTACATGCCCTTGACTGGAATTGAACCTGGGACCCTTCAGTCCGCAGGCTGACGCTCTATCCACTGAGCCAAACCGGTTAGGGCAGCAGTGTGCTTTCTGCTTTGATAAGCTGCCTGTCCATCAGAGATGACACCTGTGCCCTGGGCCTTGTGCTCTGTGCTGACCAGGTAGGTATGTAGACTGAGGCCGAACAGTCGTGTGTCTAAGCTGGATATTCCCACTGATTTTCTGAAATCCAGGAGGCCAGTAAGAGGCACTGTGCCAGTGCTCTTCCCTAGGGAACCAGGGCAGACAGCACTCGTCCATCCAGCATGCCCTCTGTGCCCAGCCGCAGCCTCAGAACCCTTCACGGTACAGCCTCCTGGTGTCACGCCCCACGTAGTGCCTGGGCTGCGTGAATGGCAGTGATTGCCATCTCTGTGATGAAGGAAAATGAGGCCTGCAGAGGGGAAGTGGCATGACTAAAGCCCCATCCAGGTGAGTGGCAGAGGCAGGATGGGCATCAGTAATGGCTGGTGGCATTGTCCCCAGTGGCCCGTGGAGAGCTCCCCAGGTAGGGCGGCCAGCCACAGCTGACCAGTGGGCCATGTCCGTCCCCATGAGTACAGCCTCCTTCCTAAAGGTGCCCATTGGAATCTGAGCCAGGGCAGTGTCCTGTGCATAAAGTGAGCTCACATGCTCATGGCTACAACCTACACTCAGGATGAGCACAGGATGAACGGTTGGAATTCCAGCCCCGCCCTCACTGCACACCGTGGCTGTGGACACTTCTACTTACGTGCCGAAACTCAGCCTTCCCTTCTGTGAAAATGGGGCTACAACTCTCCTCTGCTTTCCTGCCTGGCAGGGGTTACTGTGAAATCTCTCAAAGAGGCTGGCGGCTCCAGGTGCTGCGGGCCTGTGTTCGTCATTATCCCTGCGTCCCTAGGGTTCTGTGTGTGTGTCGGGGGGCGGGAGACAGAGGGATGGACGGAGAGAGGGAAGACAAAAGCTTCCTGAGCTGGTCAAACACATGGGGAGCCCCAGTGGCCACATGAATTGGAACCTCCTGGCCTGCCAGTTGTAAACCCTGCTTGGCTTAATGTTTTTCTCACAATATTTTTAAAAATTGAGGTGAAATTCACATAACATGCAGTTAACCATTTTCAAGTGTATCATTCATCAGCATTTAGTGTATTCACAATGTTGTACAATCACCACCTTTCCCTAGATTCAGAGTTTTTTCATCACCCCCGGAAAAATTCCCTGTACCCATTAAGCAATCTCTCCCCACTGCCCTCCGCCCACCCCATCTCCTGGCAATCACTAATCTCTCCGCCTCTGGATTCACCTGTTCTGGACATTTCATAGAAAAGGAATCATACAATGTGTGACCTTTTGTGTATGTTTTCTTACACTTAGTGCCATGTTTTCAAGATCCCTCCAAGCGTAGCATGGGTCAGTACTGCATTCCTTTCTCTGGCTGGGTAATGCTCATAGTTTTTACTTATTTATTTTGGATTTTTCTTTTTTAATCATAGGAAGTGTCACACACCTACAAGTAGAGTTGTAAAAATGAATCCCCATGTACCCATCACCCAGATCCAACCATTGTCCAGTCACTGCCACCATTATTTCATCTATGGCCTCTCCCCCCGCCCATACCGTCCCACAGAACATTCCAGACATCATATGCTTTTACCTGCACATAGGCCAGTAACCGTGTGTAGTAATGGAAGGCTCCCCGAGATTCAGGTCACGGCACTGGGTGAGAATCGCCAGTCAAGTGCTGTAACCTACACACCCAGGCAGCATCCCATCTATCTGAGTCTGCTTACGAGTCTGCTTAGGGGCCCCCAGGGGCTGATTTAAGGTTTGGGAACAAGAGCTAGAATGGTTGTTGGTTAGGAAGCCAGCTTGATCATCCCTTGGCAGGTTCGCTTTCCCAGGATGCTGTTTGTTGCCTTCCCAGTGTAAGCTGAAGCAGGACAGGGAGTGCTGTCCCAGCAGCCCCCAGGGGTCCCCAGAAGAGGCCTGGGCTGTGATAGGCTTAGCAAGGTTCCTGGGCTCCAGCCAAGCTGGAAACCACAGATTGGGAGCAGTGAGCAGGGCTAGACACCAGGCTTTTGGGTCTTGTCCAGCACCTGGTTTCCCACCTCCCCTCCCACAACTGCCTCTTAGGGAACCTTTACTGCTTCTGCAATGCGTCCACGTGCACAGCAGATGGCGCCCTTGTCCCACCTAACGTCTGATTTCTTCCAGGACCCTGATCCTTCCTGCCTTCCAGACAGATCTGGAGCCTGGCACTCCTGCCCAACGTTGGGAGTTCCTGCGGAGACCCTCCCTAGCTTCCCTGCAATAAAGTCAAACTGCTTTTGTTGATGTTGTCTCGTATGTAGTCCTGATGTCACCGGCTTACGCGCTGTGCTGTGATGCTCACTCGTTGCTATGGAGGAGGTAACTGCAGTGTTTACTTGGGTTGGGCTCTGAGAGCTCCTAACTGGGAGTAAGAAACCCAGAGGATCTGGATGCTTTGCTGTGTGATATTTTACAAGTCACTCACCCTCTCTGACCCTCGCTTTTCCTCATCTGTAAAGTAAAGGTGTTGGGTCAGATTGGTGATCTTATTTCTTTTCACTACTTCCTTGGACTTCGTATTTTGAAAATCTTTGTCCTATCAAGTGAACGTCAAATCTTAAGACAGAAAAAGTGGGAAGAGGCAGTGAAGACAGACTGCCTGGGACAGAGTCCAAGCACATGTACTCCTCAGCTGGGCCACTCGTCCCCTCAGTGTCCACAGGATAAAATGTGATAATAGCATCTCCTGCAGATGGTGGTTGGAGATGAGCTGAAGTGACACATGTAGATCACTTAGAGTAGAGCCCGCACGTTAGAAATCACTCAGTAGCCATTCTCTACTCACATACGTGTTTTCCATTAATCTGTAGAAATGTTAGTTACAATTTCAGTCAGCCTAAAAATTAGGATTTCAATCAATCTAAAAATCAGTGCCTCACCACATAGAGTTGGTTCACCTACATCAAAACAGGGATGTTTTAGGTTGGGTAACTTTATTTTTTGAAATGTTTCTTTAAACCAGCAGATCTCAAACTTTTTTTTATGCTAAGGCCCATTTATACTCTTAAAAATTATTATCTCAGAGGGCTTTTGGTTATATATGAGCCATGTTGTATTAGAAATTAATACAGGAATTTTTGGAACACAAGAGAACAAGAACATACATCTCATCAGCCATTGGGACAAGATGAGGTCACTGCACAGCACTTGGATTCTGGAAATTTCACTGTATGACTGTAGGAGAGGAAAAGGTATGTTATGAAAATGGTTTTTACCTCCTGGACCTTCTGAAAGGTCTTGGGGACCACACGTTGAGAATCACTGCTTTAACCATTAACCCTTCATTAGGCAGAGACTGGGGACCCTGGCGTAAGACCTGGCCCTGTGTTTGGCCACGTGTGACCTTGGACCAGTCGCCTAATCTCTCCAGGAGGCAGTTTCCTCATCTGCACAATACACAGCACCTGCACCTCAGGGACCCTGGCAGCCAGAAACAAGGCTTGGTTTTGACTCTAAAATGTATGCCGACATCACTTTGGTTCCATTGTGAAATTCAGTCCCAGCCATTCCTGGCTGTGTGGTCCCTTGGGGGCACAGGGCCTTTCCCAGCCTTCCTGGTATCTGGGTTTCTGGGCCACGAGATGGCAGTGTCCTTTGGATTTACACATCCTGGGAGAAGTCTGTGTCTGCAGGCTCTGGGAACAGGAACTTGGGAAGGTTTTTCCATTTTCACAGCTTCCCCCGGAGACCTGGTTCAGGCTGGCTGGCCCGTTGGGAACGCCTGAGGGTTGAGACACCGGTGCCTCTTGGGGCGAGTGGTCTTGGGAGGAGCTCCTCTCCTCTGGCTCTTTGAATCCAAGTTTCCAGCTGAGGCCGCTCCCACGCCTGCCAGCAGCCCAGCTGGCTGTCCACAGAGCAAATGAGATCACACAGCAGGACGAGCGCTTCAGCAGGGGTAGGGGTGGGAGTGGGAGCAGATGTGTGCTTCCCCCAGCACTGACCCGGCCCACCTTCCCGCGCCCTCCTGTGCCTCCCAGGTGTCTGCCTTTTGTTCATGCCGCCCCACTGTATGTGGAATGATTGCCTCCACCCGCCTCCCCGCCTCAGCCTTGTCTCCATGTGCAGATTCCTTTCCCTCCCTTGCATTCCACAGCCTCCGTGAAACGCTCCACAACTGCAAGTAATTTATTTCTCCTCTTGGCCCTCCCAGCGCTTGTCCCACCAGCTTGTGTTGTGGCAAAGCTCTTGGTCCACGTGTCTTTCCTGTCTTCCAGGATCAGGGCAGGCGCCTAGTCCCTCGGCGCACAGAACAGCCACTGAGGGCATATTGGATGGCCGTGCAATAACTGCCTTTGGGGGACATTTGTCCCTCGAGCCCTCGCATTAATCTCATTCCATCCTGTCTGGTCCCCAGGAGACAGTGGACTAGCCCAGCGACATCAAGCCTCGCTCCGACGTCAGCACGTCTGTATTCAGTCTGTTTTCACCGCTTAATAATGACGCCACCTTGGAAAAGTCACCGATTCCTTTGTGCAACTCACTTTCCTCATCTGTAAAATGGGGATCATAACAATAGCTAGCCCAGGCGACTACTTTGACTTAGGAGCCATCGTGTGCCTCATGCTTGGTGATGGCATCCCACACATCAAATTTGAAAACCGAAACATCCAAGTCTGGATCTGTTCAACCCTAGCAAACTGAAAAGTAAAAATGGCGCCTTGGGCACTGCACTGTGGGGGGGTGAGCGGTTGTTGTTCGGGACGTGGCCCTCTGGTGGCATTCTCCTTTAATTGGTGCCAGTCTCTTAAAAACCCCAGGTCTGTAATTTCTGGGGAGTGTCCCTCGGAGCCACTTTTAGAATGCTTTAGGGGCTGTGGCCACATAGTTTAAGTGGACAAGTTTCCAACCTGCTTCCTGAGAGGGGAAGGTCTGCAAATCTCATGACCGCCCACAGCAACCTTGAAATAAAACATCAAAGCCTCTGGGAGTAGGAACATTATCTCCCTGGGTCTCCTTATCATGGGCTCCGAGCACCCTAATCCTTTCGCACTGTGGAGCCCAGCTGGAGGCAGGCTGTATCTTGGGTAGGAATGCAGGCTCTGCGGGCCGAGGTCAGTCCAGCCCGCTGTGCACCAGCTGTGTGAGCTCGGGCACGTTGCTCAAAGCCTAGGGTCTTGTTTGCTCGACTGTAAAATAGGAACAATAGCAACTAGACCTTCTTATTAGGCTTGAGTGAGAGAATGTGTGCACACAGCAGGTGCCCAGCTGGGCTACCGTCGTTACCACTGCAGGCTCTTAGGGACGGAGACCTAGCTGGTCATCCAGCCCAGTGTGCACACCCCTCCCTCCGTCGGGTGGCCCTCAGTCTTGACCTGCACGCCACTCCTGAGAGAGTGCCAGGAGCAGCTTGCTCTACCCTGGGCAGCCCTGTGAGGGAAAATTCTGGCGTTGAACTCACCCGTCTCCCAGGTACTTCTCACGACGGGGCTGGAATTGTCGTGACACACGGGGCTTCCGTCTGGCCCAGTGACGGCGAACCTTTAGAGCTCGGCGTGTCAGCATTTTGAAAAACCCTAACTTAACTCTGGTGCCATGTCTCATACAGAAATTTTTTGATCTTTGCAACCATAGTAAAACAAAGACTTATATTTTTGATGTTTATTTTATATAATTAAATGCCATTTAACAAAGAAAAATCAACCCAAAGAAATGAGTTTGCGTGTCACCTCTGACACGCGTGTCATAGGTCCGCTATCACTGGTCTAGCCCTTCCCCATGGTGGTTCTTCGGAGGCCAAACAGCCTTCCCTTTCTCCTCCCACCTCCCTCTCCGCTCTAGGCCACAAGGAATCCCCAAATACCCTCCTCAGCCCTCCCTCAGAGGCCAAGCCCGAGCTACCAGCCACCCCATCACTGGCCTCTTTGTCGAGGCCCTTTAGATAGTGGGAGCTGAGGAAACTGGGCAAAGGGCAAGCAGTTCTGGGCGCCCACTGACCAGCTCACACGGTTCCCGACTCAGCATGGAAAAGCCGGACTAGTCCAGGGCACAAGGTCACCGACAGAGGAACCTGGGCAGGTCGCCCAGTCTCTGCTCCCCGATGGCACCTGCTTCCCAGGCACAGAGCACCAGCACGGGCTGCACCCAGACAGGGCCGGCACTCCATGTCACAGTTTGAGAAGGTGTCTCCGAACCCTGCCACTTTGCGAAAGGACCCTCAGCAAGGCTGCACCCCACATCAGACCAGGTCCTGCTCTACTGTCCCTGCCCCTCCCAGGGCCCAAGTTGGAAACAGCCCTCACTGAAGCCAACGTTTGTGGGTGTCTAACTCCTGGGTGTTTTTTGTTTTGGTTTTGGTTTTGTTTTTTTTTTTGGTCTAAACAGAAGCTGTGATTCTCTCTAGGTTCCTAGTACTTAGAGAGGCCAGAGAAGCCAGGGAGGGGGTAGGGAGGGCTGGAGGAGCAACCTGGAGTCGCTAAGATCTCCAAACTCCCCTTCCTGGCCAGAGACCCCCTCAGGCCCTCCCACCCTTACCTCTTCCTCAAACCAGATACCTCCAGAGATGGCAGGGGCTAGAGGAAGTCTAGGAAGTTAGAGCTGGACAGGTCTCTCAAAATAAAAAGACCTCCTACCTCATTTGTTGGTGTTATTAGTAATGGAAGTAGCTAACTTCTGATGATACAGAAGAATTATAAACAATTTTAGAACCTTATTTCTAAACCACCCCTCCCCCATTCTTTACATAAGAAAGGAAATCCTTTTACTCCTTGGTGGATGTCCTTCCAGGTCCTCCTTAGGCTTGTGCAGTATATATAGGTAAAGATAAAAGGCAGTGCAGCTTAGCATTTCAAAGTTCAGGCTCTGGCGCCAGACTGCATGGCTCCCGCTCCTCGCTCCAGATCTTACTGGTGAGGTATTTAAACCATCTACACTGCTGTTTCCCCACCAGTAAGTTGGAGATCATTGCATTTATATCTTGGAGTGGTTCTGAGAATTAAACCAGATAATGCGCATAAATCATTGGGCCCAGTGCCTGGCACGTAAAAGTCTCAATAAGCATTAGCTATTCTATTAGTATTAATATTTGTAACCGTCTTCTTTCACTAAATAGTTCATGGACTCACTTTCATCTCAGACGCGTGTGTTATCTGGACCTGCTTCTGCACTATAGTGGCTCAGTTGATGGGGCAAAGATACCATGTGGCCCAAAGCCTAAAATATTTACCACCCTGACCTCTACAGGAAAATTTTGTTGATCTGTGGTCTACGTTAGTGATTTCAAACTATGTTCTGTGGAAATCATACAG